TCATTTTCTAAATTAAATTACGTGTATAACATGTTAAAATTTCATAATTTTTTATAATTATAATTTAGTTAAAGAGTCATACTTTTATTTATGTTGTCTTCTCTATTTATTTGTTCGTCTTGATTGGTATTTTCCTTTCCTATAATATTACTATTATTAGTCGCTAACTGACGCTTACGACGGGACTATATTGGATAAGAATAATTACACCCTCCGCACCGCATTCAAGTTCTAGTGGCATTGGTTCTGGACTTAGCAGTGAAAAGAGAACGGGAAAAGGATCAAAATTAAATGAAAACCACCTGGTAAACGCGTATATTTATTACATTTTTGACGCTTTATCTAATGAATATATTTATATTTTTAGACATTCGGACCATTAGTTGATGGTATGATAGTGAGTCGGCATACAATTGGTTCACTTGTACGAAACACTGCTATATCGGCCCACGATGCATGTAGGAATTTGACAGAAACTCGAATAAGGCAGCCGTATGTGCTATTTTATTACACTATTTTAACACTTCCAAATTGTTATTCTTGTTTTAATTTGGGCTGCTATTAATAGATATGCCGTGAGACGACAATTTATAGATGAAATGTATAATAAATATAAAACTAGTTTATCAATATCGGAGTGAGTAATTGTTTAAATGGTGCTTATTTTTTTTTTTTTTTAATTTGATTTAATGCTAATATGATTTGATATGCTATAATTTATGATAGGTTTTACACTAATATATTTACAACACGATAACCTTATTTTATTTTATTACTATTAATCAAAAGTTAATTTTTATCGTGTATAGTTCAGCAATATGAACAGGTATCTTGTTTAGTGTTGTTTTTAAGTGCATACATATATAGTACATATAATATTTTGGTATTTTAATCTGATTAATTATAAAAAAGTATTCTATTTTTCTTTTTAATTAATTAAATGTCGAACATGAGATTATCTCTTGAGTGATTTTAATAATTATGAATCCTAACGTGCTAACGTTAGCTAGTCATTTACTAAAGTTAGAATTGGCTAAGCTATACTTATCTAAAAAAAGTCATAACTTAGCAATTCAAGTAGTATTATATTTTTATAAATAAAAATACATTACTGTATTAGATAAAGTAAGTATCTAATATACAGCATTACAAGCCTTAAGATGTCTTAATTAATTAATGTTTCATATTTGAAGATCGTACCCGGATAACTATATGGCTATAATGAATTACTCGGATAACCGGGTAATATTAATCCGCGACAATGAACCACATCACGGCTGATAGTACTTTATACTAAATT